TGGGATGCGGTCTTTCTTTGCATCCTACCCTTGGGGGTAGGTTTGCTTCTCGCTAGACGATCCCAACGTTGTTGAGGATTCTGTCGCTGATGTGGTACTTCAGGGTATGGAACTTTTTATTCCTTCCTCTGTGGTGCCCATTGGAGGAATCTCAGCCATGGTTTGGTCGCTCCTGTAAAATAGCATCATGCTATAAGCAGGAGTGCTACCAAGCCTGGGCTGACGCATCAGCCTCCCGGGATGTAAACACCAGCGCTCTAAAAAGAGGTATAATTCCGCCTCTAGGTCCTTCAAAAGAGTCATTGCCAAGGCAAAGTCAGAGCACATAGGCAGAATTTGCGAGAAACTAGTTCGCCTTCCTTCTGGAACCCGTACATTCTGGTCTCTCGCCAAGGCTGTCCAGGGGAATTTCTGTCAGCCATCTCTTCCATCTCTGCAAAGGGAGGACGACTCACTGGCTCATACCGCAAAGAAGAAAGCCGATCGTCTAGGCTCTTTCTTTGCGTCCAACTCGACTCTCGATGACGGGGGGAGTACGCCGCCGACCATCCCGCGGTGTGAGTGCTCCATGCCGGAAGTGCAGTTCACACAGCGCTCGGTTCGCAAAGCACTCCTCTCCCTGGACATCCACAAGTCGAGTGGGCCTGACGGAATCCCCCCAATTGTGCTGAGTACGTGTGCTCCAGAGTTGGCACCTGTTTTAACGCGTCTTTTCCGGTACTCCTACTCCCTAGGCGTAGTCCCAAAATCATGGAAGACGGCTTTCGTCCACCCGATCCCTAAAAAAGGCGACCGCTCAGACGCGTCCAACTACCGGCCTATCGCCATCACCTCCTTGTTCTCCAAAACAATGGAGTCCATTGTAAACTGCCAGCTCATGAGGTACCTTGAGGATCACTAGCTGATTAGTGACCGCCAATACGGTTTTCGCCGTGATCGGTTAGCTGGTGATCTTCTGGTCTACCTAACTCACAGATGGGCGGAGGCAGTAGAGTCCAAGGGCCTCCCCCTCCATTCCATTCAGTCCATTGGCCATTGGCCGTTAGTTTGGATATTGCGAAGGCCTTCGATCGGGTTTGGCACAAAGCGCTTCTTTCGAAGCTCACTTCCTATGGGCTTCCCGAGAAATTGTGCGATTGGATCACCAGCTTTCTTGCAGATCGGAGCATCAAGGTCGTTGTAGACGGTGCAAGCTCCGATTGCAAGCCCATTAATGCTGGTGTTCCACAAGGCTGCGTGCTAACGCCAACCTGTTTCTTCTGCATATCAATGATATGTTGCAACCGTAACATTCATTGCTATGCAGATGACAGCACTGGTGATGCTCTTTACACTGGCCGTGCCAATATTTCTCGGGAAAACGTCTCTGAGTGAAGGGACAAACTTGTGTCTGAAGTCGAGTCTTTGCTGAACAGAGTCTCGGATTGGGGGCGATACTAGTCCAGTTTAACCCCCAGAAGACACAAGTTTGCGCGTTAACCGCTAAAAAACCCCTTTGTCGTATCTCCTCAGTTTCAAGGCACTCCCCATGTTGCCTCAGCCAGATCGAACCTCCTCACATATCGAGTGACGTGCAGTTTCGTGGTCACTTGGAAGAGATGGCCAAATTGGCCTCCAAAATGCTTGGCGTGCTCAGCAGAGCGGGACAGTATTTCATGCCGGCACACCACCTGCAACTTTACAAGGCGCAGGTTCGGCTGCACATGGAATACTGTTCCCATCTCTAGGCTGGGGCTCCCCAGTACCAGCTCCTTCCACTTGACCGCATCCAGCGCAGAGAGGCCTCGAATCGTCGACGACCGAGTGCTTTCCGATCGGCTCGATTCACTGGCACTGCGAAGAGATGTTGCATCTCTTTGCATTTTCTTTCGCATATACCATGGAGAGTGCTCTGAGGAATTGTTCGGATTAATCCCAGCCGCCAAATTTCGTGAACACACTACGCGGAAAACGTCCCGATACCATCCACACCATCTGGATGCTTGGCAGTCCACCACTGTACGTTTCATAAGGAGTTTTCTTCCGCGTACAACCTCTCTGTGGAATAGTTTACCACCGGCGATTTTTCCGGACCAATACGACCTGGGGACCTTCAAGAAAAGAGCGTACTCCTTTCTAAAGGGCCGGCAACGGCGGCGGTAGTCACTTAACATCAGGTGAGCCGCATGCTCGTTTGCCCCCATTTCTATATATATATATATATATATATATATATATATATATATATATATATATATATATATATATATATATATATATATAGAGATCTCTTTACGGTAAATGTTGATCAGACGCGACTTCACGCGAGCACTTTGTTGATCTAAAAACACATGTTGATCCGGCGCCTTTTGTTGATCCAATATGCATCTCTGGTAACTAATGTGGCTCCGACCGGATCAAAATCTGCACTCACGAGACTGTTTGCTAGCGTTGGCCGAAGTTGATCCGATATACAAATCCACCTTGCGATGGTTACGGAAAATGTTGATCCGATTTAAATGAGCCAACCAGAGCACAGCAAACGATAAGATAAACGATCGGATTGGCTGAATGCAGCCGCGACGTTGCCGTTTCGTATCTTTGGCGGTACAAGCTACAGATTAAATGCGTGTTCAATACATTCAGGGTGCTGTTGGGTCTGCCTCGTTATTGTAATGCGCCGGGTATGTTCGCGGATGCGCGTGTGGATTGTTTCTACACCACCATGCGTAAACGTTGCACATCCCTGCTGCGCAGGGTGCGGGCCAGTTCCAATGGTATCCTGAGGGCATTTTCTGACAGGTTTGAGGTCAGTTCCTGAACCATTGTCATATGGTGCACGTGCTGACTAATCAGGCCTGTCTTATATATAGTTTTAAAATTAGGTGAATAGTTTTAAGTTTTACCCCACTGACACGTTCATGGATACTACGCCATCCAAAATAAAAATTGCCTTGTACGTCCTGGATACTAGTGTAGCCAAAGCGTTAAGTTTTATAAAACTGACATCTAGGGACAATCTGCAGTACGTTTTGTGAGTTTTATTTATGGAATCAATAGCTGACGAATTACTTTACGTATCAAATACGAGATGGCAGTATAACAAGTCTTGACGAATGAACCATAAATATCTTACTTCAGTATCGGTGTTCTGTGTTTTGTGAACAAGTGTTTTTGGAGTGCCAGCGATTATGTCGTAAGTACTTTAGTTTAATTTAATATTTCGTAGATTATTATACGTCAAAATAAACTAGATGATTTGTGCTTTATAATTACGTATATATATCACAGTTCTAAGTGTAAAATCGAGTCATATTTTAAATTCAAAGTATAGCTGTTTCGAAAAAATGGCCGCTCAAGTTGTCGGCCCAATTTTAGTTTTGTTAACTTAGTTTTTCAGTAAAATTATATTTAAGCAACGAGTAATAGTTGTAATAAACATAATAATGCACTTTGCAAACAGAATTAAACTATATTCACTGAAGATTCCTTAGAAATGTTATTGTGTTCCTCAGGTCTTTTGTTGTGGATAGTTTGATATCCACGGACGTAACTACAATGGCTCTAAATAAGGGTCGGTACAAATAGCAAAGTATGCTTGCAATATGTTTCGCTTTCTTATTTTTTGTGGTCGAGGTCTTGGTTGGTTTGGGTCTTGAGTTTTTTTTTCGCTTAGTTGGTTGTGTAATTGTGTTTCATCATGCTCTTATCTCATAGTTTTTGTTCTTGTGTTATATTAATGTTATGTTTGTTCGTGATTGTCGACTTTTGCTCTCTTTTCTATTTAACTTCACTTTACTTACATGGAGGATGTGTTCTACGATTTCAAATCACTTTACTTTCCTTGTGATGTATTGACAATAATTTAATTCTCATATTTAATCAAAATCATTCATTTTTCGGTATACGGTTTTCGCTTTGCACCACTGCTCAATGTCTGGCGCCAGTTTAGAAGCTGTCGTATTATTTATTATGTAGATCTCTTCATGTAGAACGCTTTTCAAAAGAAATTACATTGAAGAACCTCATAACTTTCGAGAAAAAAATCCTAAATAAAAATGGCTTTTGTTATGTAATCATATAATAAAAAAAGGGTCCTTACTGCCATAAAAAATAGCTTCTATTAAAAAGCGACCCCAGAGATTGCATCGTACTTTCCATCATTTACTTAATATTGTGCTATATAGCCTATAACCGTTATAGGGTCCCATCTATCACTGTACCAAAAGTCATCAAAATCAGTTCAGCCGTTTTGACGTGAAAACGGGACATATATACTAACAAACATACAGACTTTCGCATTTATAATACATGTTATTAGGGATTGGATACCTACTCATTTAAAATAACTCTCTTCTAAGTTGACGCGGGTAATTTTTAATGCTTCTTTACCACATTATTATTGTTTTTTTCCCTGATGATATTAATGGTTTAAATTAATACATACAATTTTAGATCACCGACCGAAACTAACTTAGCTCGTGGAAGTCGTAGAGGCCGAGGGGTTCGTACTAGAGGTGGGAGGGGACCATCTCAAGTTAGGAGGTATTTTCTATTTTTAGTAATTTTGTTACTAAAAACTACTTTCGTACATTTTGTTTTTCTCATCTTATATTAGATATGTAGTCAAGTTTTAAATAATTATATTATATTATAGATCACCTAGTGAAAATGATCTGCCGTCTAACGACGGGAGCCATAGAGGCCATGGTAGTCGTGGCGACCGTGGCAACCATTATGGTGGAGAACGCCCTAACAGTCGGAGACACCGGGGAGGCCGAAGAGGACGCGGAGGACACGACAATCAGCCCTCCCAAGCAAGGATGTAAGTATGTTTTACACAGATTTATTGTTGGACTATTATTTTTGATACTACAGGATATTATTTCTTTGTAGCAGTGAACTAGACTTAATTCGCGCTCAGCGGCAGCTCACCCAGAAGCGTGTTGCAGCGCTGCCAGCAGAAGTAAAAAAGGGAGCTTTTAACTCGCAAGCGTGACTCTGAGGTTGCTAGAGTTATAATGCCTGACGCGCCTCCGCGCAAAAGGCGCGCCCGGTAAATGTATTTACTACATACTTTATCATAATTTAGCAACACGTGTTTACTAAGTTTTCTTTTTCTGGCAGATTGGCGTCGCCGGAGCGCGAACCATGCGAGTTCATGGAACCAGAATGTGATAGCCAGCGTAAAAAAATTATTATTTTAGGTAAAGAGTCATTTGTTGTTAATAATTTTACTATATTGTTATTGTTTTATATTTGAATTAATATTATTTGTTTTAGAGGATATACAATTGGTGCCCCCCAAACACGCCGAAATCATGGCTAACGTCGAGATACGTAAGTAAATGTTTTACTATACCTAAGCCTGTTCCCAAACTTTATTTTATGACTTAATTAACCTGATGCTTTTTTGTTACAGATAACATTCAACAATCGCCGCCCGGGGATGTCGAGATAGGTAAGAAAATATTTTACTACACCTGAACCTTTTCACAATCTTATTCTTTATGACTTGATTAACCTGATGCTGTTTGTTACAGATGAAATTCAACTATCTCCGCCCAGGGACGTGGAGATACGTAAGTAAATATATTGCTAGGCCTATGTATTATTCATTTTATAAGAATCCTAAGCCTCATATTGTTTGTTACAGAAGACCTGAAACCTAGAGATTTGCTGCGTATCGGTACGTCAGACCTCGATACCGTCCCTTATTCTCCCGACTACTTAGACAGTCTGGATCCGGATCGCTTAGATACGGAGATCAATAGAGCCTTAATGGCAAAAACTCCTAAAAAAAGGGGCATACCTTCTGCAAATTCTTCCTCAATAAATCCCTTGATAGATTGAACACACATACACTCTCGCACATTCATACACTACACACATACACCTAAAAAATTATTATTGAATCTTTTTATTTTTAATGTTTTCCCTTTTTTTGAAGTCTTTCTGCTTCTTCGTCAAAGGCCAATTCTGGTCACATTCATAGAGATAAATTCTAGTGAAAGTTAAGGTCAATTTGAAGTTGAAGTAAACAATTTATTTAAGCATAATTCTATTTCAGGAAACAATATGGTAGCCGAGGCTGATGACGAAGTAACTGTGACGCCTTCCACTAGCAAACAGCGTACTTCGATTGGTACGCATTATTCAATCTAGAAGTCAAATATAGAAAACCACGGATTGTTAACAGTAAGTTTTTTTTTTCAGGGGTTATTGACAAGAATTTCGACGTTGTCGTTGGCGACTGGATAAAACTGACCGATGACCTAAGTGACTGTGACATGGACACAGAAAACGAGGACTGCTTTCTCCCTGTCATGACCTCACGCAACGCTACGGCGGAGCCTGCAGCTGAAACTGACATGACGTTGTACGAGGTTCGTATACTAGAGACAGAAGACCGACGAAATGATCTAGCAATCAGGGAGATCGCACCACATGACTGTTACAATTTTGAGTGGAAAAGAGATCGACAGACTTTTACAGGACAACGAGAAAATTTTACCGGGACTCCAGGACCGACATTTTCGATTACAGAGGAGACTAGTATCGTCGAAATTTTTTATAAAATGATCGACAGCGACTTTATAGACAGAATTTGCACAGAGACTAACAGATATGCCGACCAAAAAATAAAATTATTGAAAGATCAGAACAAATTCTTACCGACTTTAAGACTACACCGATGGACACCGACGGACAGGGATGAAATGGTCAGTTTTCTAGCCATATCAATTCTTCAAGGGCTATACCCCCTGCAGGAAGAGGAGTCCTATTTTAGTTTCAATGGTTTTGGCACTATGCCTTACTTCCGAAAAATAATGTCGTACAATAGATTTTTATTATTGAAGTCACTGATCCATTTCGTCGACAATGAGACAATTACAGAACCAAAGAAACTGTGCAAAATTCAAATGGTGACTGACTATTTCAACGAAAAGTTCTCGCATTTATATTATCCTTCCCAGGAGGTTGTCATTGACGAATCCCTTCTGAAGTGGCATGGGCGACTAGGCTTCGCTCAGAAGATTTCGTCAAAGGCTGCGCAAGTCGGAGTGAAGACTTATGAGCTTTGTGAGTCTTCCTCTGGTTATCTTTGGAAGTTTTTTATTTATGCGGGAAAAGAAAAGACTGGGACTGCGACTGCAACAGCTACATCTAACGAGACTAACCCTATTGACACTGACGAAAGACCTGATGATACAGACACGACTGAACATGTCATAACTGGCAGTAGCGATGTACGTCCCAGCAATGCTACTGCCAAAATAGTTTACGACTTAGTAGAACCTCTACTTCACCGCGGACACACGTTAAAAATGGACAATTTTTACAATTGTCCATTATTAGCGCGGTGTCTGAAACGACAACAGACAGACTGCTTTGGGACCTTACGACTGAATCGGGAATTCGTTCCCGATTCATTGAAGACAATAACAAAAACAGAACTAAGACAAGGTGAAGTATTGGCAAGCTACTGTTCTGATTTGTCGGTAATCGTATGGCGAGATGCTAACCTAGTTAGCATGCTCTCGACATACCATTCCCTCCAAATCGGTACGCGACAAAAATATAACCGACTGACATACAAGCCAAGCGTTGTCCTGGACTACAATAAGTCCATGGGAGGAGTGGACAGGAAAGACCAGTTCTTGTCTGCTCAGCCCATGGAACGTGTACGAAATAAAATTTGGTATAAAAAGGTATTTCGTCGTCTTTTTAACTGTGCCATTTTTAATTGTTTTGTTTTATTTAAAACGGCTAATCCAAATATATCACACAGACAGTTCAGGACAACTTTGGCGGAAGACTTACTAAAGTTACACCGACATATTGACCTCACGACAGAACCACGACTTATGAATTCGAGAACCGGACTGATGAAAAGGCCAACGACAACCACGACCAGCAGACCTAAAGTCGAGCATCGACATTTCCCAGTTAAAACTGGCTTTAAGCAAAGTCGCTGTTGGTTGTGCGCCCAGCGAAAAGTCACAGCCAGAACTATTTGGAAGTGCCTAGAATGCAACATAAATCTATGCATTGATGGTTGCTTTATGCAGTACCATACATAATTTATTTTGTTTTATTTATTTATTTTAGTTTTAATTTAGTCCTTTTTTTGTAAATATTTAGTTTGTAATCAATTCCTAGTTTTAAATAAAATATTTAATTAGCAATAAATTTACTTGAAATAGTCAATGATAATTATAGTAAGTAAAGGTTTGTGAAAAAAAAATATATTTATTATGTCAATATACTGTACATTGATTTTATTATTTGTGTTTAATTTAAAACCCCAACTAAAAAAACTCATAACTACCTTTTTTTAAGTTGCGTAAATTACAAAGTGTGAATGAGACCTTAGATAGGCGGCCATCTTGCTTATATTTTGCCTTCGCAAGCGAGTCGAAAGCGCTCAAGACATCGCAGTAAAATTACGAGGAGTAGGTGTTTTGTTACAATTTATTTAACTACTTAGCGTTAATTAAACATAAACATCTATGCATTATAAGAAAGGAAAATACGTCTAGTTTGTTGTTGCATTATTTTATTGGTAAAAAAATACAATATTTCTTCGTTGTGGTGTAAATTAATAAAATTTATACGTTTATTTTTCTCCGAATTCAATGTTAACACTCGTTTTTAATATCTTAAATTAAGTTTTTAGATCTTAAAATATACATAGGTTTAATCTGTATTCTTCTATCAATTTTTTCGTAGTTTTTTTCTTTACTCTAGCTATTATAGTTAAGAAGTTATGTAGGGTTTTTGTTACAAGATGCGAGCGCGGTAGCACCCGAATCAGGGCCGCGCTTATCCGGACGTACAAGGGTATAACAATCGCGCGGGCTGGACGCTTGAGTGGCTAAAATTAGTTTTAAGATTTGTATTATTACTAACATCTATGATCCTTGTGGTCGAAATAAACGACTTTTTTAACGAATTACTCGACAACGCCCCTTCTTGTAGCGGAAGTGGTGGCAACGGCGACATAATGTATTCGTCTGAGTGCGTGTTTGCGTGCGAGCGCGCGCGCGTGTGTGTGTGTGTGTGTGTGTGTGTGTTTGTGTGTGTGTGTGTGTGTGTGTGTGTGTGTGTGTGTGTGTGTGTGTGTGTGTGTGTGTGTGTGTGTGTGTGTGTGTGTGTGTGTGTGTGTGTGTGTGTGTGTGTGCTTGCGCACGTGGGTGTGAGCGTGCGTGTGTGTGTATGTACGTGTATGTGTACGTGTGTGCACTGTTGTGTTTTTTTGATTACGTGTGTATGCGGCAGTGTGCGTGTGTTTGTACGGTTGTCTGCTTGCGTTTGCGCGCGAGCGCGCACTCGTGTTTGTGTGTGAGTGTGTGTTTGTGTGTACATATGTGTCCGTATGTGTACGTGTGTGTGTGTGTGTGTGAATGGGTGTGCGTGTGTGCATGTGTGCACTGTTGTGTTTGTGTGTGTGCGTGCGTGTGCGGCAGTGTGCGTGTGTGAGTGTTTATGCGTTTCTGCGTGTGTGGCAGTGTGCGTGTGTGAGTGAGTTTATGCGTTTGTGCGTGTGTGCATGTGTGGATGTATGCGCGCGCGCTTGCGTTTTTGTGTGTGTGTGTTTACCATAAACCAGTTAACATGTTTTCTACATCTTCATAATCAAGATTTTAAAGGACGCGTTTACAAAATTGATAGGTATAGAATCGAACTATCGACCTTACCTCCGGTCTTGATGGAGTGACCTCAAAATGTAATCCGGGATTACTAGTGGAACTCCTGGACTAGTAGAATTGGGTGTGCTGAGTTTGGGCTCGTTTTGTTAGTTATGATGAGTCCTTACCTCCGGACTGACTGAAGTGACCTGAAGGTGTACTTCGGTTGTAGTAGTAGTAAGAGTATATAAAAGTACACACACAAGTGTAATAATAATCCTATATAATCAAATTTATTAATACAATAAAGAGAGTCTTATATCATCATTCGTTTGTTTAACTCCTCTCCTAACATTCGCCCTACATGGTGACCCTGCCGAAGTAATTCGCGACGCGAATGTAACACCCTCCGCCGTATTTGGAGTGGAATATTTTTTCTTTGTGCAACTGATGAACTAAATCAAGCTATGGCGTTCTATCTTGAGCTGCGCGACTGTGTTCATGTGTTTAACAAAAAGTTAACGAAAAATAACATACAAGATGGGCGGTAAACAGACTAAAGAAGAGACCGTAATTGTGCAAAACGCAGTGGGAAGCAATAAGGCAGGAGTTGAACAATTACAATTTCACCTGACTACGAGTAACGTTTTGCTGTCCATCGTTGTGCTGGTACTTCTACTGGGGTCCCTATATTGCTTGTATCGGACATATAGGCGATGTCATATAAAGTGGATTAACACAGAGATAAACAGAAATACCCTAAGAAGGTCTATTTTTCGGCAACCACAATCCCCCACAAATATGGAAGAGGCAAGTCAACCAAGGGCGTATTATAAAGTATGACCGGCGCTGATCAGTGTTTCAAAATGGCGTTTAAGTGCGTTTAAAATGAGTAAAAAAGTGCGTGTCTATTAATAGTGCAAAAATAAGGGTATTGTGTTTATAAATCAACGACGTAACTCTAGGACTCTAGCCTATATTACTGAACTTTATATTTTAAATTAAATCATGTATTCGTTGTACTGTCTTTAATCGTCATTGAACCGTATTATTATTATTTATTTTTATTAAATATTTCGTAAAATTATTTATAGTATACTCTATTCTACGTATTGGTGGTAAGTTATGAATATTTCTTTAGAACAGTTATATGAGAAATTAAAAGAAGTGAGAACATATTTAATTAAAATTGGACCGAGTAGACGTGAAGGAAAAGTTTTAGATACTAAACTTAAAGAGGCCAATGAAATATTTAGTGACTATTCTAAGTTGTTAATAAATTTTAATAGTAAAGTAAAGGAAGGTAAGATTAAATCTACTGATATTCCATCTTATCAAACCTATTGTAAGAATTTTGAATCATATCAGGATATTATAAAATTGTGTAAGCCCGAGTGTGTACTTTTATATACTCTTACTACTACTACTACTACTACTACACGGTAACTAACACTAAACACCTGGACTAATAGAACTAGGTATGTCGAGTTTGGGTTTGTTTTGTTAGTTATGTTGAAACCGTCACAAAACAAAAGTTCTGTTCACTTTGTCTCTAGTACCAATAGGTATCCAAGCTGATATTCGGAAAAATGAATGACCTCGTAGTAACATCTTTAGGGGCAGTATCGATATCCACTTACCAGCTACACTGTTTTTCGCTGTAACCAACTGTCTTTTATATAAGCCTCACTTGCCCTCACGCGGCCACATACGCCTCCACATCTACCACCGCACCCCTCTCTAAGCCTTCGTTCTCCACCTCCGCTACCTCCGCCTCCACCATAAACTCTGCTCCATCCGCCTCAACAATAAACTCCGCTCCCTCCGCCGCCACCACCACGCGCCGTCACTATTCTTTCCGCCTCCAACACAATTCCCCGTTTCCACTATCTCCGACTTCACCACAAATTCCTCTCCTCCGCTTTCACCACATACTACGCTGCATTCACCTCCGCCTCCACCCCGTCTCCATTCTCCGCATCCGTTTTCTGGGCGCACACACACACACACACACACCCACACACACATACACACAAACACGCGCTCAGACGAACACACACGCACACACACACACCCGAACGCACGCACACGCACGCGCATACACACACGCCTGCTCTCGCGCACTCACATACATACAGACACACACACACATGCACACCTAAACACACACACACACACACACACATACAAACACACGCGCGCGCACACATATTAATACGCGTGCGCTCGCACACACACACTCCCGCACATACACTCACACACCCGCGCGCGCACAAATGGACACACATACACGCACAAGCACATACACACACACACACACACACACACACACACACAAACACAAAACAATAGTGGACACACGCACGCACACACTCACACACTCCTACCCACACACAAAAGCAAACACACGCACAACCGCACACACACACACAAGAACAACAGTTAACACACGCACTCACACACACATACGCGCACGCGCAAGCGCTCACACAAACTAACACACACACACGTACCAAAAAAAACTAACACACACACACGTACTAAAAACACAACAGTGCACACACGCACACATACACCCACGCACATGCGCACGCACATGCGTTCACATGAACATACATGAACGCACATACACCCACACGCAGGCGCACACACAAACTCGCATAAAACACACACACACACACACACACACACACACACACACACACACACACACACGCACACACACACACACACACACACACACACACACACACTCGAGTGACAAATTAATTTGTAATAAAGTACTATTCATCAAATTCTAATTTATCTATGACAAATGAATAAAATAACACAAATTCACTCACACGATAAAAAAAACTCGAACAAACGTCTTTATACAATAAAACCTGCCAAAGTTTGATCCACAAAATCAGCAGATAACGTATTTTCTTACCTTATTACTATATCGAAGTAGCCCACTGGGTTCTCTGTCACACACAGAATGCGACGTTGCCGCTTCGTGTTCGAGTACTTATGCGTCAATTATGGCTCCGGATCCACTTAGTCTAAGTAAATGTCGCATATAAATTAAATATACTCTGGATCTAAAAACTCATATTCAGTATGATTTTTTTCGACCGTTGATAGATCAACAAATGTTGGTCAAATCGCTGACGAGTATATTGAAATCCTGTTAGTGCAGATCCACGGACGTCACACGAGCATCAAGAATGGA